TGAGATAAAAGAAAACATATATTTTTAATAGAGAAATATTTAAAGTTATAAGATTATCAAAAACATAAAAAGGCTCGTTTTTTTGACCAGTTAATCAGTTTTTAAATGCCCGTGGCACGAACTTTTAAAATGCGGTTTTTAAATAAAATTCTATTGGTCTGCTGCACGCCAATGTAAATGAGCTAAAACACATATATTTGATGCTAGGCATACATTTGATCCTGAAGCCATGTTATGGTCTGGTCTAAAATTTTGCCTTATTTAAAAGAAGTCATGCCAACGAAAATTTTTTTAACCAAAAGGGATTAGGGATTTACCTAATAGTAGCTGTACAACATTGCATACATGTCAAAAATTTAAAATAAAAGGTGTTCAGCTTGTACAAGAACGGCCCACGTTCTCGTTCTATACTACTTCTGCCTTATTTAAAACCCTTATCATTTTCATGCAAATTTATCAGACCGATCCTCACACAATTTATGGGTACCCTTATAAATTGTTAGTCATAAGAAATAATATTATATTTTATTCCATAAATTGACGTATGTATATTAAGGTAGTCCCAAAAATGAAATCTTATTATGACCCCATTACATGGTAGATTAATGTAAGCAAAAAATATATTAAAAACTTCACATTTTTATTGGAAACTAAGCCATTTGTGAAACGTTTTCAAAGTTTCTTTAAAAATTACTAATTCAACATTCAACTTTTTTTTTAAATTGATTTCCCACCCCCTACTTTGTTAAGTCTCAACAATGCGTATGAGTTATAAATTTTGAAATCAACTCGCAGACCCTCAAACGCGTTCTTTTTCAAAAATTTGATTTTATACAAATGTGAGCCGCCCTAAAATCATGTTCTTGCCCATAAATTTGGTTGATTTTGGGTTGCATAAAATTAATTCGAAAACATAAAATTCTTAATGCGTAGCGAAAAGGTTTTAAAGTATCCTTAAAATTACTCATTCGACTCGTATGCTAGTAAAAGTTTTGTCCCAAAAAATCGTTTCTCCATTTCTCCTTTGTCAACTTATTTATTTCGATAGAATATTTGTTGCAACAAGGGTTAATAAAAAACCAAGTATTGACTAATTCTTGGTTATAACTTTTATATGTATGTATGGTCCGATTCTTGGCATGTAGATGGGTATTGACAATATGAACAAAACCTTATTTAAATTATTCAAAATATTTCGAAATGTGGGTGCTAGATGGGGTTCTAGGGTTATTTGCGTTAGAGTTGGAGTGGCACCCTGCTGAAACAAACTTGCGCTGCGCAGGAAGCCCAAGAATCTGCATGCCAAGTCCAAACACTCTAGCTCTTATAGTTTTCGAGATCTCCGCGTTCATACGGACAGGCGTACATGGCTAGATCGACTCGGTTAGTGATCCTGATCAACAATATATATATTCTATGGGGTCGGCTTCCTTCTACCTGTTACATACTTTCCGACAAATCAAGTATACCCTTTTACTCTACGAGTAACGAGTATACAAATTTTCCTATAAAATTGGAGCGTCTTAATATACCTACAGTGTGCACTATAAGTTTAGGAACATTTCATATGTAGTTCTATAAATATAATTGTTTGCCCACTGTATGTATTAGTCAGTTATCTACTTCTTAATCTTCCCTGAAAATTCAGGACTTTGTTTTAGGTTTTAAGTAAAGAAAAATTATCTGATAACAAAGTGCAAAACGGTTACAAAAATAATTAGGAGTGACTATTAAATATATAAAATAAAAACACCTTTTAACAAGCTAAAGGGTCGTTCCGATCGCACCATCAACATACCAAAGTTCTGATATCAAATTTTGTGACGAGAAATGCTTGTACAGTTGACTAAATAAACACACTTTCTAACTTCTTTTTATTCACACATACACAGGACTATATCTTTAGTGGCTCAGAAGTTCGGAATTTCGAAATTTAGCTATTTATAACAGTTTTCACGCTAAACTAGCAGTGTTGAAAAAGTGGTAAAACTAAAGTTTCTTACATGCAAAATTTCCATTTCGGACAAACACACAAGCTGACAAACAGAAACAATTTTCATTTTGAAAAGTCCCTCAAAATCTTGTTTTTGCGTATAAGTTTTAAAAGGAGCATCAATGAGGTGTCATTCGACGCGTATTGTCAGCTGGGAAGGTCTAATTTATTTGTCCAGTGGTCCCAAAGCTAAAATTTCTTACATTTTTACTTTTTCACTGGTCTTTCTCCCAAACCAATTCGTTTTATAAAAGTCTTGGTATGCAATCCTTTAAGTTTTTGCGATACTTTTCGATCAGTGTATTGATGCTGCAGTTGAGCAGATTTTTAATTTGCGGCTATATATAGTTCGTCACTACGTGGACTGCCGTTCACAGTCATAGTCGTTTAAAACTTGATTCAATGTTGCAAAAATAATTTTTTAAACACTAATCCTTTTGAATTTGATTTTTTTTGTTTATTTATGCATTAAACATACGGTGGCCCACAATTTTTTTGGTGCAAAGGAAAACTTTAATATTAATCCGTTCTTACCGATGAACTATTATGGATATTATCAAAATTTGAAATCGATCTTGTTCATATTCAGTTTTTAGGTTTTTATTATATATTCTGACACTGCTTACAAATTTCTTTTTTTAACATTCAAAAGATAAAAACTTTTAATTTTTTAAATGTTACGGCCATGTTCAGCAAGCCCCTAATGTTTCTATTATTTTTTTAGTTTACATGGAATTGAAAATTATAATCATAATCATAAAACATTAGTCAACTTTAGACCACGAAAAAAGGTTAAATAAGATGAATAAAGCAGAGTTTAAAATTGAAATTGGCTTACAATGTTAGTTTAGTTTAGTTTAAGTATAATCTTTTAGAGTAGTAGAAGCAATAAAATAAAATTTCGTTGATTTTAATTATAATTTATGTCTGCACGTCTTAACATTTGTCCGGGTCTAGCTTCTATATTAACGATTGAACCCAGTATAGAAAAAAAAGGTTGTGGTACTAGTAAAATGATTGGTGGGGATCAAAATGGCCTAAAAGATCAAAAGTTAAGTTACGGAAGTTCAACAGAACTTTTATTTATGTACTTCCTATTTATGTATGTCCTTCAAAGAAAACATGTGACATATATGAGCATTTTTGTAAGACATTTTCTTTTCTATGTAAGTTCAGGACTATCACAGTTAATTTAGTTGAAATAATTTGATTAAGGGCTTGTTAAGGACTAGCCTTCATCAAGATGCTAGGACAAAGTTCGAAAATAAGTTCGATCTTAATTTTCGGTTATCACATAAATTCGTTGGAAAAGGCCTTCCACTTTAAAAACTTTTTATCTCATTTAACGTTTTAAAATCCCACCCAATGTATGTACATATGTACATACATATTACAATGTCATTGAAAAAAGGAATTTGATTAGAACCGCTTATCCTTGTAGGGGAAAAAATAAATGTGTAAGTGATTTTCAGGACTTTTATCCCACTGTAATATTGAGTCATCCAACAAGTTGTTGTTCTTGGGCCGATTTTTCTATTACTTCTTTCTGCTCGTTCTCGTACTCTTTGTTTTCCTGTTTCTGCCGCCTAATGCATAAATTACGTTTTCCTTTTGGACTTTGTCAGATTTGTTTAGCACCTTCTTAGCGAAAAGTTTCCAACGGAAATTGTCAACAGAAATTGAAAAACTCCCATGTAAATACTCCGCACACGCACACACGCACGGTCCAAGTGGAATGAGCACCCACACACAGGCACACGGGCAGCGCTTAATAAAGATTAACGCATTTCTTATCAAGCGGTGATAGCGAGCAAGAAGATGGAGAGAGCCAGGCGAGAAAGAGCGAGCCTGGCTTTTCGCACACCGATGGGAAGAGAGGGTGAGGGAGAGGGACAGGGACAGAGAGCAGTGATATCTTTCCTCTGCCTGATTAGCAGCGTCTAGTTTTTCTCGTGTTATTTATTTGTTTTCTGGTCTCCGCCGCTCCCGCTTCCTCTTCCTCACAGCAGCCGCCTACGAACGTCGACGCTGGCTGCTTTATTTTCGCGCCGCGCTGATAAAATAAAGAACAATATTAATTTAAGTTTAAAAATAGAATTCGCTGCAGATGCCCATTGCATGAATGTGTGCGAGCGAGAGAGGGAGATCGCGGGAGAACTGATTTTCTCTCTGACCGCTCTCTCTCCCTCTCTCAGCACACACATGTTGATCCGCAGCGGCAGCGTCAATTAGCGAGAGAGAAAGAGAGATCATATAAGAAATCATCTCTGAGAGGAGAGCCGAGTGGAGCATGCAAATCAGTGATGCCAAGAGGGGGGAGTAAATCGCTGGTGGGCACTATACCTTGGATTATTATCTAGGGTGACACTAAGAAGTGTACTATCTCTAAATATTTTTAAAAGCAAAAAAGAAAATTATTGTACATAAAGTCAATTTATTCTTCGTGCTGTACTCGCAGGCTTAAAAATGTGATATCAAAATTAGATATACGGGAGAATCGAAGAGTATTCTGTAAGTCCTAGGATCACGTTTAAAATTAAACTACAGCTTCAAACTAAGATGTCAAATGATTACTCAGAAGTCAAAACAAGCTAGAGCTAGAAAAGGACAAAGCGCCATCTCTGGGGAGCATGCGGTGTCGCTCCCCCGATTTTCGTTGGGGGCTTTCAGTATTATTCTATTCGCCTGCCGCTGAGAGAGCAGACGTAAGCAAACGTAAGCAGCCGTAAGCGAACGTAAGTGTCAGTAAAAAAGGGAGACAGAAGATTTCAGCGCACTCTCGCTCTGTTCGCCTGCGCTTCAAGTTTGTTTTTCGGATCGCCAAGCCGCGTGCGCCCCACTACGCTCTCGCACACACGCACACTTGGAAAACGATATTATGCATATGTGTGTTTAATATATATTTTCTGATTGGATTGGGGCAAAAACAAAACCCAACGAGTGCGAAAAAGGTGAAAAAAGTAAAAAGCCGAATAGCATTTCGAATATTCTGTGCGGTTTGTGTTAATAATTATTATTGAATGAAAAACAAATTCCGCCAAATGTGTTAACAAGAGTGTTTGCAGCCGCAGCCGCAGCGCCATAAAGTTTACAACAATACGGGGAAAAAACCAAAAAATAACGAAAACTGGAATTTGTGATAATTGTTTTTCGGGTGAGTGAGCGAGAGGGAGAGAGGTTCAAAGATAACAGATTTGTTTCGGGTCCCTGATAAGCCGTTCCAGAGCGCATCTTTATCTCGACCACGGAATTCGCTCAAAACAGCAGAAAAGTGTCATTTCGGGGAACCGAGTATCGGTGTGGGAACAGTGCTTCACTCGACTAAATATTTCGAAAACAATATTCAAAAAATCATTCCGCATATATTATAATTTAAACATTTTTCTTCTGATCTATCGGCCATTGTTCTTCCAGATTCTTCGCTGTAATCTCTCTCTCTCTTAAGAACACGATGCATTTCTCTCTTTCTCTTCTATGCTCTCTTTTGCAAGCATTTCCCTTTTCGTGAAATTTACCGCTACGATATTAGTTAGTTTTTCACTCTCTCCCACTCTCTCTAAGTGCAACAACAACAACGCGAAACGAAATGTATATTAACCAGAATATTTTCCATATGCAGAGCGAACGCGAGTAAATAGCAACCACAATAACAAAAGCACAAAGTGAACAATCGTTAAACAACCAAAAAGCAAGCCAATTAGAAAAATAAACACAGTGCAAAAATCCAACAAAAACAGGAGAATAGAAAAGAAAACGCAGAGATCGTGGAAAAACAAAAAGTTTATCTAACTGTAAATCCGAGCGCCAACGTGGGAGGCATCCGAAGCGAAAACTGCGGATAAGCAGGCAGAGAGAGAGAAGAGCGATCTCTGGCAAAAGCTGATGACAAAACTACAAGGGCAGTCCGTGTAAGTAAACCTCTTCTTTATCGAGAACCCCTTACAATCTCACGGAACCGCACTGGAAAATAAAAAGGTTGCATAACTCATGCTTAACGAAGGGCGAAGTTCTATTTTCATTATTCAAAATTTCAATTAAAAGAGTAAACCTCTTTGGAATAATTATAAATATGGGAATGATTGATCCGCCAGCATTATAAACACAGTCAGAGCTCGGAAACTACTCCTTAAAATTATTTACTTACTAATAAATATTGTCATTTTTGTCATTAAAACTCTATATAGGATTATAAATTATGTTTACTATAAAATTAAAATTTAGATACCAACATTTTGGGAGAAAGTTCGTTAGGATGATTAACATTTTATTGAGTTATTTTAAAACGCAATGAAAATGACTATAGTTTTAGTCATTGAAATTTTGCTTACATACATTTATGTAGATACTAAATGTTTGTGAATTATTTCAATGGATTTAATTCGAATAGACTTAAAATGTTTTTGAATTAAATTTCCTCCGGCAGTTGTCCTTGCTGTTAATTTTTCCGGAAACCAGTGTTTTTTGGCAATTGAAAATCGAACCAAATAACTACACAGATGCGTGAGCTGTGTCAGTGGAGAAGTCAATCCAATGAAACCGAAATACTTGGGTCAACTCAGTGGGGACCAGCGACCCTTGCTCCTCTTCTCGAATTTCCCTGATTTTCCCAACCACGCAGTGCAGGGAGAAGTCGATAAAAGTTGGCCACTAAAATGCCGGCGATGAACCGCAACAAGTTGGCTTTTCCAATCGTTCTGTGAGAGTTCGGCGGGGAGTGCTCAAATTGCCGATGTGGCCTCTAGCGTTTTCCCCTACCTCTTTTTAGCCTTCGGAGATACTTCTGAACGATTTCATTTGCGTTTTCTGGTCGAATTAAATTTTTATGGTGTGGAAAAATTGAGAAAAAGTAAAATTTTGTACTGCATTTTTTGGGTTTTTCGTATGTTTACATTATTCTCGGCTTGCTAATGAAATTGAAATGTTCGATGTGTCTGAAAGCGTTCTATTAATACATAAGTTTGTGTATTTATAGTGGGGCGCTCGCTATTTGCCATGAGTGTGTGAGCTTGTGGGTGGTGGGTGTAATTGACAGCTTCCTCGAGACCTTACAGAATATTATTTTTGGCAACTGGCAGAAACGCAAAATGTTCATAACTTGAACTTTGAATTGGATTTTTTTGGTATCTGTTCTGTGTCAACATTTGCCCAGAAATACAAATGTTTCCCCCATAACCATGCTGTTTGCTTGCAAAATATTAAGTAATAAATATTTTCAACTCCCTATTTCTGGCTTCAAAGCCAGCCATGCCGTCGGCTCTTCCAGTCAGATTGAGCAGGTGTTTTTGGTTTTTCCATTATAAAGTTAGCTACTTAAGTAAAATTATCCTAAAAGTCCTAACCAATTATTGAATCTATATTCGGACTATATTATTATTATAGCAAGAATCAAAAGGTTCAAATTTATTTGTATTTGAGAGGAAGTATTTTTTGTACTTAAATGATTCCATATACTTCAATATTCTTAGACCAAGAATTTTTTTATGTATTTCTCTCTAGTGGCCGTCGTCGCATTGCCAAAAAAATAAAACAAACAACCCAAAATATATTTCGAGCAGCATTTGTTTAGTCTTTTCCTGGTTTTTGTTTTCACAAAGCCCCTAACTTTTAGTTTAAATATAGAATCGCCGGCAGAAGCTCTGGAACAAACAATTTGTGTTTGTAATTAGTTTGAATTTACTTCTTAGGCATACCAAGTTGTGAAAAGGGAATTATGCTTCCTAATTGGGTGAAACCAGAAACATAACCAACATAATTAAATCAGTTTGAAAAGTTCAAAGTAAATATATAGAGCATTTTCCTGAAGTCTTGGACACTATGATAAACTATTGGCCAGGAAATATTAAAAATGCGATACTGGAGCGAAAATATTCTGCGTTTAATGACATATCAATATTGCAATCTTGCATGAGTATCGCTCTTAGAGTTTGTTTTGTTTAATAAAATTTGTCTTCTGCTTCGTTTTTTATTATTTTGTTGTTCGTGTATGTATTTTTTGCTAAAACCGCAAAAGTTTTGCGGTTCGGCCACGACGCAATCTTATCATCTAATGTTCTAAAAATAGAGGCAACAACTACGGCAGAATGGATGGGCCATCGTCAGTACCGGTACCGTCCCTGAGCGGGCCTCTGGAACTTGGAGCGAAAATTGTCGCCCAACCTTTTTCAGCTCTATCTCGCTATCTATCTCTATCTCTAGCTGTATCTTTATTCGTGTGTGTAAAAATAATATGTGGCCTGGGCGTATCTCTATCAGAGTATCTGTATCTGCATCTGTATCTGTAGCTGTATCTGTGTAGTATCGGTTGGTCTATACAGCAGCATTGTATCTTTTTGCGAATTTCGCTAACAACAAAAATTGTGTTTTCTTCTTCTTAGCTGTGAATTTTGTACTTTTCTTGTTTTCTTTTAGAGCGACCGTGTGATCATTTAGCGTCCTGCTAATTCAATTTGAGTCTTCTGTTCTTGGATGGGATGTCTGTTTTTTGAAGTGTATGCGTGAATATTATTAAAGTTTTCAGGCATCTAGAGATTTTTGTATGCCAAGATGTTAAAGCGCATATAAAAAGAGTTTTCCACATAACGTAATGTGTTCAGATACAGATGTAATAATTACATTGACATGACATTTTGACATTTTTCTCTTTTTTAATACACAATATTATTTTTATCGATAGAACGATTTTTTTCAAATGAAAGCAGCTAAAACACTTACAAATGTATAAATATTCCCACCAAAAGTACATAACAAAAATGTCAACTGTGAATAATAAATTTCACGCCTATAATTAAATTAGAAGTTATATTCTAAATGAATCTAATAAAATGTTGCCATATTTTTTGTTTAATAAAAATAAAAAAATAAGGCGAGCCACAGTGTCAGGGTCAAATAATTGATTTTGTTTAACAGTGTAACGTTTAGGAAAATTAAGAATTTTTACGAGAAAGCAATCCAATGGCAATCTTTGTTTCGGAATTATCAAACTTGGCTTTATAGGAACATTGTAAAACGGTAACAAAATTTCAAATGGCGAATCATTTTGGTTATTTTTTTTTGTTATTAAACACTCCTATTTATCAGAGCATCCTAGCTTCGATCACACCTTGCAAAATTACTGTCACTTTGTTTAACTATCCATTTATGACAAACAAGCAAGAGAAACGAAACACGCCAAATATTTTTCCTTCACAATTTTCTTTGCTGTCAAGCCTGAAAAGTTTTTCGCGCGTTGTTGAAATAATAAACAGAAATCGGAAAAAATAAGAAACAGTGTCAGAAACAAATAAGAAATTGATTGAGAATGTTGCTGCTGTGTAAAAATTTCCACAACTCGTATCAATGTTTGTCGCTGGGAATAATAAAAAATTCCACAAGTCTTGAGAAAATAAGTCGCTGGCCTCTTTTTATTTTAAAGAAATGTTATTTGGCTTATCAGTTAACAGGGGATTGTGGTTTTTTAATAACTGTGTTGGCCAATTGGCAGGAACCAATTGTGTTTGCATATTAAAATTACACATGTTACCGTGGGATGTGTAGCAAAAATTCCACTATAAATAATTTGACACTTGAAAGTCGTTGGCACTGCATAAATTAGATACAACATGGCAGACACCCGGTGACCATGGCCATATCAATGGCAGCGCCTTGGCTCGGTTCGTCCTCATCAACTGAAGCAACAAAGGAAGACGCCAGCTGTCTGTTAGTCTCCTGAGAGTCCTCAATATCCTTGTGCCAGTAATTAGATTTGCATATATGCAAATCGCCCAGAAGAAATCTTGAGATCTCTTGACTCCTTTCAGTAATTGGCGGCCAGGACGAAAGGCTTCCTTGTGTGGCATTTTGCTAATTGTTTAGAGTTTTGGTAGCTGCATCATGATAGATTAGTTGGGATTATGAACAGAGTGAGTGCAATTTGCATAACATTGTATAATTAGTTTTGTGGTGTTTGTGCAATAATGCCCTAATTGAGGCACAAAATATTCAGAACGGAGTGTAAACATTAAGTGCACTTACCAGGCCTGCATTTTCAACTATTTAAAGAGGCTCGAATATTGACTAATTTGATTAAACTTACCAGAATTTAAGTGTTTTCCAATCTAAGATTTAATTGGTTTGGCATTTTTCAGTTCTTTATTTGAATTATGAGCAAAAGCATTACAAATATTTGGTAAAATGACTAGATGTCACTAAGGCCAATCTCCGTTTTAACTCGTTTTTCGCATTAGTCGACTTGAATGCATTATGCTAACAGTGCAGTACCAGAGCAACAAAAGCCGCCAACCACGGCGGGAATTACGTCAATGGGACCGACAATGCATAAGCCTCCTCCTTCTGTATTGGCAGAGCGTGAAATGAGCGAACCCCGAAATGCAGCGATTTCCGTTGCCCCGGCGACCGACTATCCAAGTTCCCTCTTGATTTCCACCACTCTGCTCCGCCATTCGGCTATATCGTTCGCTTTGGAAGCCACTCATTCATAGCACCATGGGTATGTGCCCCTAACCAAAAACCGCCCACAGATGAGGGCCTAAAACCGGGGAGATCGATGAAACCCCAAGATCTAGGGAGTGAGCCGGCGAAACCAGCGAAATTCCTAACTCGCATTGTTCAGCGCTATTTGAATGCAATTTAAGTGCTACAATTGAATACGTATTATTAGCCATATACTTGAAATATACTCCCAAAAGGCCGGCTTTAAAAATACAGTAGAACCTTTAAGCTCATACATTACTGGCCGCATAATGTTTTCATTGAATTTTATGGTTTGATTTCTTGCTTCATTACTCATGAATGTTTATTAAATTAAGTTTTGAAATCTTTGAAACCTCGTAAGTTTAATTTAATAAATGTGAATATCCTATTCATTCCGAATCCTAACGTTTCATCTTAATCAGAGTGGGAACTCTTTTAT